TTCTGTTATGTCAAGGGTACCATGTTATATCCTTTTTTCTTAATACTGTCTTTGGCCAAGTTTCGTTTTGAAATCAGTGAGGTTTCTTGCCAGCAGAACTACTGCTGTAGTTCATCTACATTCATCTGACTTTCATAAACATTCTTGCTTATGAATAAAAGTTATCCATGGCTAGCTGACATGCTAAGCCATGAAAGGCAGAACTTTGCGGATTCACAAGTGGAAATATGTAAGAGTATATGTTCCTTAAATCTCGTTAGTTGAATACATATTCCCCTTTGGCAGCTTTAGTTTTTCAGAATGTGGAGGGAGAGGAACACTGAGTGGAACTAATAATGACATGGTTTCCTAATGGACCTTGCTGCTTGGGATGAACTGGGCTATAATATGAAAGTAGTCAATAATATGGCTTCTTTGTAACCCCTAAAATGGGTATGTATATCATAAACACATACATTCCCTTTTTTCAGTCAATCATAAAGAGCTAAATTCTATTGTCGTTTGCAGGGCAAAAGCAGGTTAAATCTGTAGAGCTGTTTCATAATCTTGTAGCAGACACATATATTAAGCCACTGAAATGTATCTTCTTGACACTAGTATGATTATATACCTAAATGAAATCACAAATCCTTCTCTATCTTTCACAAAATGAAATATTACATATATTTAATTAATCACAGGATGAATGTCATTTTTCTCATTGCAGTGTTCTTGACCTAAATGCGTTTGAACGTCAGAACAAAGCAGAAGGCCTTGGCATGGTGACTGAAGAGGGATCAGGTACTATCGATTTAACAGAAATGATCCATGAACTTTTCTCTTTTACATTTTGCAGAAGCAAGCTGAATTTGAAAGAACCCTGTAAATATATATCTGGAGGCTGAAGCTAAAATATGATTCCTAGGAATAGTTCATATTTAAGTGGCCTACGTAAGCCCATGCTTGTCAGTAGTAAATCACTAGCATGGGCTGAGTTTCAGAACAGTCTCAGAGGACTCTTACCCATCGTTCTGAAGAAGTGAACACATTACATGTAAAATTGACAACAGATTCTAGTTACAAACAGCAGTGTTTACGCATGTAAAACATTTCAGAAGTCCCTAACCAGTTTCAGCATAAAATGAAATTAAGAGTTCCCACCTGATTTCTTAAACTGTCTTGGCTGGAATGAAAAACAGACAATTTAGTTAAGCTATAAGTTAAATATTAGGAGGTTGAGGAAACCATATCTGCTGTTTGGAAAAAAGTCTTCTGGGAAAGCATTTTCTTTGAAATAATTCTTTTCTGTTTGTCTTTGGGCAAATATTACAAAATTTTCACTTTACTTTTGACTTTGAACCAATTTGGCTTTCTACTCTCTGTGTTGTCATTTCACTGTCAATTTCCTTCTTCTATCTGACAGTAAGTTCTTCTACTCCCGTACTGTGATTGTCTGGAAACATTAGGTTCGTTCTTATGTGACTTAATAGAGCTATCAAAGCACATTTTCTCCCCTTCAGTATTTTTTACGGTGCATTTTTATGTTTAAATCCTACAGTGACCTAATCTTTTAACATGTTTTTATCTTAAAAACAAGGTAAAAAAGCTTGACTGTATAATCATTATTGCATTTGGGAGTTCATAATTCATACCTGCAACACTGCATATCTCATTGGCTACTGTGCCTGTAGCTCTTTTATGTGGCATATTTCTTGAATATTCAACTGCTTGTCTCAAATCAAAATCATGAACTATTAAATTTGAGTGAATGACTTCAAGACTGATCATAAATGCTGCTTCTCCGAAAGTGCTCCCACAGTTTAAATTATAGATCAAATCCTGCTAGACTTATATGAGTAAACAAAATAAAGTGAACTCACATGAATAAAATTTAGTCACAAGATTGTGGATTGAGCACTGATGCAGCTATCTGGCATATAAGGTTTTGGCCGTTACTTTCATGTTTTACTGAAGATTATTCTGCACAATGTTTTGCTCTTTTGGACAACATTTCTACTACTAAATAATTAAATTTATTATTTATAGTGTTGGATTTTGAAATGGACTGTCAAGATATCGGCTCATTTTTCTTTTGACCACTGCCTCTATTTCTAGAAATGACTGATTTTGCATGCAAATGTAAATAAATCTTTAAATGCTGCATAACTGACTCTACCTATGTTAGAGTATTTTTGTGCTTTATCATTTGAGGGATTTTTTTAAAATTTTCTGTTTATTTGATCTTTCTCTTCTTTTAGTACAGAACTAATTTTGCCAAAACCAATACTAATTATATTTTGTATTTGCTAAAAACAATTTCTCAACTTTTTTTTCTTTTTTCCCCGTTCTTTTTCTTTGAACTAATTGCCCTGTCCTCCCTTCCTCAGTCATCACCCATGAGCGTGGTAATTATTAAAAACAACTGCCTATTCTTTATTTTTCCTGCTCTTAGCTTTGTGTCAGCACTGTACAGCTCCTGAACACCATTAGATTTTTTGTTCCTGTAAGACTGTTAAGCTAGTGGGTTCTTTTCTATTATTATTACAATTGTGTATTCCAAATTTCTTGTTTTTTGTGTCAACTCGCCCCACTTTGTTCTTCCTCCCTTTCTCAGGATTTGCACAGTAACTGGCACACTAGATGTAAGAGCAGCAAGCTTTTTTAAACTCTTTTTTTTTCCTGTTCTTTTTTATTTCTTTTCATTTTAGTGAGCCCAGTATTTGCGATGGATGAATGTTAAAAAATAAAAAATAAAAAAAAAGTATACCTATACATACACAAAGCCTTGTGCTATAGTCCTCCTGTAGTATTTATGTTGTGTATTGAATGTGGCTTTATCGCTGCATTGATTTGTGCAAGCACAGGAAATCAGTGGTGGATCCAGTGAGGATTTGAGGGTGGTTAGTAAGGAGAGGACTTGCCACTGGCTAGGTTTATCTAATGCGGTCAGGAGTTGATACGAGAAAGAGGTGGTGCATCGCTAATTTAGAGGAATCAATAATGTTTACAGGTGGTTCTTCCTTGCTGTGAAAGCTACTTGATATGTTAAGGTTCCTGTACCTCAAAGGTTCCTTACGTCAAGTAAAGGAAGAGCTTTGTAGGAGCAGTTGCCATGGGATATTCCTGTCACCAGGAGAAATGAGAATTTAAAATACAAAATGTGTATATACCATTCAGCAGAAACAATAAGCTCAAGCACAGCAGATGTTTTTTCATTAGCCAAATGTTGGGGAGGGGGATGATCTGGATTTTTATTTGTTTTCTCAGTGGAAATTTTTTATTTGGCGGATTAACAAAATTCTACACTTAGGATCATGTGTTTTTGTTTTCTTTGTTACTGAGCAGCAGCAATGTCAAGATACAGTAATTACGCGATTTCTTGGCACAACGGGATAATATTTGCTAACAGCACTTTTTTAATGTATTAATATCCAGCTATTGAAAATTCAAGAAAACAGAACAAAGCAAAGCCAAACTAAAAAAGACTGTACTTTTCCTTTTCAGGGTTACATTATTCTTGATATTATGCTATTTTCAAATAATAATAATTTTTTATATTATAAAGCACACCTTTTTCAATTCATTGAAAAGTACTTTACGTAAGGGCTGTACAAACACTGCTATTAATACCTGATAGCATTATGAAAGCCCAGCCAGTGAGTCTGTGGGGAAACTCCTGTAGTGAACAGTTTCGAAGTATCCTAGATTTTATGGGATACCTGAGATCATATGTCTGTTTGCAATCCTATGAATAACCATCTGTAAATAGTACAAAGGAAGTACCAAAGATGTGGAAATGTTTTCTTCCATTCCTTTTTTTGAGGGAGATACTTATTCTAAGAGTAATTAATTACTCCTCAATTAAAGATCATTTTATTGATTCCCAAGGGAATGATGGGATGTAAAATGTGCACTGTAGCCTGTTTCTCATGTCATCTGAATCTGATGCAGAAGCATATTAATGAGTAATTGTCATTGAGTTTACAACCTATAAGCCTGAAACTATTCTTGCCAAAGTCAAAGAAAAACTGCTGTTGACACTTATGGGAATAGAGTCAACTTTTTCTCAAGGGCAATGCTTGTTTCTGGTCCCATGTCAACCTTGGCAATAGGTAGAAAGCCCAGTACTGAGTCAACATGGATGTGAGATTTATTGCTCTATTCCAACTGTTTCTTTGTGCTGTCTGCATTGTACTCTCCTTGTCCTGATATTCCTCTGACTGGTACTACCTTCCCTTTCCAAACCCTGGAACCCCCACTGGTAACAACATTGATGGTTCTTTAGCCAATGTGTTTCTTACTTGTTTTTGTGATGTACTCAATGTTGTTTCTTCTGTTTGTATTTTGCTTTGATTGTTCTGTTTCCTTTTCAAAAAAGGGGGATTCAAAACCAAAGACATGTAGAAATGCTTATTATCTTGCAATGGTTTTCCATTTTTCATTTAACACTCATACATTATGCTATTTCACTGTGAGTCACAAAAATCTTGAAAGTGCAATGTTTTTCTCCTTTGGAGAGACTTGTTTTACTTATCATATGAAATAAAAAAATTAAGATGTTAAGTTTACACTTAGATGATTTTACCTTTTTTTCCCTTTTTGTCAGGAAAGCTCTATTTTTCTTTTTAATTTTTTAATATTATATCATGGCATTCTTTTGTTTCTCCATAAGTTCTCAGAAGGCTTATTTTCATAAAAATACAATTTTAGAATGAAATTTGATCTCATAGTAAGTCTTAAAGGACCTTCTATTAAACTGACTGAGAGTGGTACACATGCCATATAATAAATAGCTATAATGAGGGTACACATCAGGGCTATTTTCAGCCATTAATAATGTGAAATCAATAAATGTGCTTTTGTCCTTCACCAACCTAGTCACGCTTAAAGGGATTTTTAAATTTTACGTGATCCACTGTAGCCTACATTGGAGGGGTGTTTTCCACCTTTGTGTCACTGTATTTGAATCAGTGTTTTTGCATTTAAAAGGGAACTTAAGTAGCTTCAGTTCAGAGAAATTGTTATGTGTCACTCTGTGAGAAAACAAGTGTTTTTCTTATTTGAATCAGATTATTGAGAAGTCAAAGGCATGCAGTACTCACAATCCAACCGAATATTGCCCGGGTCTTGTGATACGAATAAATTCACTTGGTTTATCATGGGAGAGCTTTGCTCTTGCTTAACAGCCATCAAAAAGGAGTCCTGTTCCTTTTTGAAAGCTGAAAGTATTTGTATATTTCTGTAATATGTAGCATCAGACCAATGTTTCTGAGTAATAATAGAAGTCAGATCTTTTCTGTTGAGGATTTAAAAAAAAAAAAAAAAAAAAAAGAGAATTGCTAAACTTGGACACATGTACTTTCAAGGAAAACACCCATGTATTTCATTTTTCATTCAATCTTATTTTCATTTCCTACACATGATACCTCTGTTCCTATATATATCACAAACACAACTACCAGTTTTGCAAAAACTACAGGCTTAAAGCCTTCATGTGTGTAGCCGTATCATTTACATACAGCATGAGCAATGGCAGCATTTTAATGTCTAAGCAAATATATGCCAGAATATACATCATATCAATAGAAATTAAACATGGTTTAGTGACAACGTAAGTCATACTATATGCAGTGTGTAAGTTTGTAAGTACGTTATCTATGCAAATCTTTGTGTGTACTGGCATGAATTTGTGTGCACAGCAACAAAGGTTGTTCTCTTAGATTTTATAGAAAGAAATGGATCTGCACTTCAGTTCTGTAGTTGCCAGTGAGACACCACTTGCAGTCAGTAAGTAACATCTGAAAATTAAAATTCCTGTCAATACCAACATTGGGTTTAGTCAGATTTTGATCAGCTGTAGAAATTGAAAACCAGGATTATTTTAAATCTTAGTGTGGCCAAGCTGTTTGAAACAGGGGTTTTTTTCTTCATTTTGAAATATGTAAAAATATTTCCAGAAGGAATGGACCTTTCAGCTTATGTGAAATGATGTACATAAACACCTTCTGATGTTGTAGAATTTTGCAATAACTTGTATTAATTTTGTGATTTCTTTACAGTGGAGCTAATTAAAAGACCCTTCCATACCCTTCCAATATTAAAATTGGAACTTATTTTATAAAAATTCCTAAATTCCAGTGGGTGTACTAAAAGCCAGAAGATTACTTCATAAATTAATCTGTATAATCATTTTACCTTGAGACTTGTTTTCCTTCTTGTTCTGAAAAATCTTACCTGATAATAGGGCAAGAAAAATAGAGGTGGAAAAATACTATTCTGTAACTTATTCTGTAGTCTTACTCATACAATTGGCTTTAATTCAGTGATATCTTGATGTGCAAGAAATACATGGTTGGGCCCTTTATGGGCTTGATTTTTCCAACAGTAATACCTCAGCAATTTTCCTTCTGAATTATTTTTTAAAATCATTGCCATCTCAGCAGTCAAGCTACATGCATTGCATGTGTGAAGGTACAGGATCCACCAAATATTTGGCTTTCTGTAATGCTTATTTTTGCAAAACATAAATATTCATGTAGATCAATAAAGTATGTGACTCCAAGTGTAACTTTAAGCATGACACGACTTCAGTTAAATTAAAAAAAGGAAAGTGACTAATCCTGCAGGATATTCTATACTCTGGACTTTGGCCAGTAACATATGAAAGTATCTTGCAGGGCTGAACCTGCATATAATGTTGAATAATATACTTTTAAGTGCACAGGCACCTCTTGCCTTCTCGCCTTCTCAGGCATATATTGTATATATACATTAATCAGCACTGACAGAAACAGTAATTTATTATTCATTGTTTAATTAGCTGAAAGGGTTTTCAGTCTTCTGTGACTGAAAAACTATATATCTGGTATTTATACCTGGGATCGAGAAAAATGTCGTGGAATGTCATTTATAGCATTTGGCTCATTTTTGGAGAAAGAATTGCGTATTGTTTGCCACTACCATAAGTACACATCTGG